GGGGTTCCTGGTGATGAGAAAAAAAAAGTTGTCGAAAAAATCTTGGAAAAAAACATGTAATGCAGAAAAATAATCTGAACAGCTTAAAAAAAAGAAAAAAAGGGCGACGGCCTTTAGATATCAACATTGAACAGACCCGCCCCAGGCAAGAGCAATAGAAAATACGGAAAGAGAGGGACTTGAACCCTTGGTAAACTAAAGTTTTATTCTCTTCATCTGAAGGTATCCGGATTTGAACTTGAGTTTGTATTTCAACAGTTCAGGGGTGTACCAAGTGAGCTGGGGTCACATCCAAACTCTTTGCCAAATTTGGAAAAAAAAAGAAGCAAATGTCATTGCTTAAAAGGAAAAATAGTTTTTGATTTTAAAAAATCGAAAACAAAGTCAAATTGGAAAAAAAAATGCATTGTAGAGCTCAAAACGATCTACAAGACTACAACCTAGGAAGTTTTTCATGCTCGGCCGGACCTGCACAGCCGGGCACCCGGGCATGCAAAAAAAAAAGGAAAAAAAGAAAAAAAAAATCCTTTCTGCACTTTCCCAGAGGAACCCAAATCCGGGCTCGTTTCATTTTTTGAGAGCTGGCTGTCAAGGGGGGAAAGGGGGGTATGAATTATTTTGAAAGGGGCTAAAAGGGGTTAAAGGGGGGTCCTTTAGTGTGATTTTATTATTTTCTTTTTTATCTCCGATTCGGTGAGGAATTTTGATGCGACCCTCAGCCAAAAGTTGTTTGTACTGCAATTCTACACAACATATTTGTTTTCGGGAATTTTTCGTCTTTCGTTGTTTTTTTTTTTTTTGCGCTGGGGCTGCCCGGAACCCTGCCCGGGGTCATGCCCGATCGGGCACCTGGGCGTGTATCCGGGCACAAGTTGGGTGCCCGGGCGCCCGGAAAAACAACCTAGACTACAACACCTTTTTTATTTTTTTGACCCCCCCAAAAATCTCCGAAAGTTGCGGCCAGAGCTTGGCTGGCCGCGGGCCAACTCTTGGTCGTGGCCGAGGCCGTCGGCCACGAAAGCCCCCCGGCCATGACCGGGGGTGATTCATAGTCCTAATCCAGAGATAAAATTTCAGAAAGGTGTCACACGTATTTGGGCATATGTTCATGGGATATCTACTCTTGTTTTTTTTCGCTATCCTATTCTTGTATCAATTACTTTACGAAACCTAATAAGTCAATGATATGATAACACATATCAACATTTATCTTGAATTACTACGACCTTCTTATTTTATGTTATACTCAAGAAGATGTACATTATTTATAATTTCCATTTCTTATTCTTGACAGTAATGGCTATTTACTTAGCAACGTGGGCAGTGCAGCATCCTACAAGAACTCTGAAATGCAGGACGCTGTTACATGCAAGTTGCTGTGCAAAACATTCAGCTGAAAGTACGAGATGAACAATGTATGAACAATTCCCAACCAAATGCATGCACCTGATCAGGCACCTAATTGGTTCTGTATGGCACGATCTAAAGCCCGCAATACGAAAATGCAGAAGATCAGATGCATATTGCCGAATTACCCTTCCCAGTACGCGATTTGTACAATTGTGTTACAAACATTTCAAAATTACCAAAAACTGCATTGTGAAACGGTATTCACCTGTTAGCAGTATGGATGCAGGTTTCAGGGCTCGATCCCTAGTCCTCACTTTACCTGTGTACAGTATGTGTCGACACCGAGTGTTTGAACCCGTGACCTGTGTTTTGAGGGTTGTTGTTGTCTGTCGTAGGTCTGTGTAATGGTAGGGGTTCGATCGGTAGATCTGTCAAGTAGGAGTCACAGCCCTGTAGAGGTCGTAGCTGTAGGAATCCTGAAAGGTCAAGGTCGTAGCTGCTATGACCTTGACCTTTCAGGACTGTAGCAGCTACGACCTTGACCTTTCAGGACTGTAGCCGCTACGACCTTGACCTTTCAGGACTGTAGCAGCTACGACCTTGACCTTCTGGAAGTGGCCTTTCGAAGCTGCCTCACGTTTTAGTCAGAGGCAAGTGGGCAAGTGGTGAGCCCAGCTGCATTACGTTGGCAGTGCGACTGCATTGAGTTGGCAGTGCAAACCCATGCAGTCAGCGGTACCGGTCCAGTCAGTCCCAGTCCAGTCAAGCAAGTACCATGAGGGACTGTGTGCACCATAGGCCTGGTGGAGGGGGGCAGACCAACGAGTTACAAAGTATAAATCAAGAGGCAGCGCCAGGCCATTCATTCATTCGCCTCGTAAGCCATGCGGAAGCGCTGCTACAGTGTCTTGTGCGAAGGTGGTCTGCAGGTTGCCCGAAGACGAAGTGGTCTGAAGGGAGATCGTAGCCATAGCCGGTAGTGGTAGTGCGGCCGTAGCCGCTGTAGGAGGAAGTGAGATTAAGTGTGTGTGTGTGGTGGTATTCAGGGTGATCCAGAGTGAGCATGTGTGAACAGTGGGGTTGGACACAGTGACGAAGGTTGGGATGTGCAGGCGCCGATGCGCCATAGCCTGTTGAAGTGAACTTGCATCTGAACTGTGTTCTTGATTTCCGTATCTCTAAGCTTTGAGTGGGCGCCCTGCGCCGGTGTGAATCTCCATCTGTTTGCATGTGTGTGAAGTGGAAGTGAAAGCGAGTCTGATTGCAATTGCCTATGAAAACCTCGTACTAGTAGATAGACTCCCCAGAACCCGACACCTAATCGATGCGCGTGCAGCTCTGATCTCAGCTCGTCGCAGTTCCATTCATGAAACCCCCTCCTACCACTGTTGAGCCCTTTGATTGGCAAAATTAGGAACTGGGAAGAGGACAGAAAGTATTATAGAAATGGCGAAATGCCTTCATCATCTGGTGTATGAGAACATGCGTTTAGAAATTGGTAATGAGTGCATGATTGAGCATTGTGTAGTATCTGTTCTGATCAGTTTAATAATTAAAAAAAAAAAACAGTAGCGGCTTGCATGTTTTAGTATGCAACGCAATGCTAGCAGTTCCCTAGTTGCTAAAGGGAAGGCGCGTGCATCACAAGCCTTGGCACCAAGCGCAGAATCAAACGAAACAAGTGTCGAGCCTGCTGCGATCGCTACAATTGCTTGAGATGAAGATATTCACGTAAACTTAAACCACTAATACCTCCGCGCCTATTTTCGACAAGTACTGGTCTACCTCCGAACTTTCAGGAGGCCGAGCCCGCCGTTGATAAATCCGATTGGCGGTCGTCGTTTCGTTTTGGCCTCCTGAAAGGTCGGAGGCTGAGTATTTTCGAACCGGCAAAGGTACTAGTGTTTTGCCATCTGTTGGAAGAATGCGGAGTGTGATTGTAAGGAGTGGGGAATTCCGTACAGCGCTGTTGCTGATCCAGGCCTTCTTTGTAGCTGCTATATCTTACCATGTAGTCAAGAAGGTGTAAAGATTGCAAAATATATTGCCACTTCCTAGCGGTGGTAATTGCTTATCGGCTAATTAATACAAGAAGATTGTGTGTGGTTTGGTTGGACATCGTGGCAGTTAGAGTAGGCAAAGTGCATAGACTTGGCGACACACTTATTTTGGACGAATTCAGTCTTTGCGAACCACTTATTTCGGAGGAACACGTACAGTGTGTGTTGATTGGGTTGCTGTTGTGCACGGCAGTACTGGCTTGCGTGCACTTTGATGTCAGAGTGTTCACTGCATCACACCATTACCATCATCATTAGTTGCCTTTCCCACCTTGTATATTCCGCTTGTCTTGAAGCCGCCCTGCGAGGGCCAGTTTATGCACCCGATCTGACGGCTGACTGATCAGCAGCTTTCTGATTCCTTTCAACAAGGTGCAGTTTTTGCCGCGCCGCATGGCGTCCAAGTGCTCTACTTCAGTACTTTCCCACTTCTTGTGGAAACGCGGTCCAAATCCATGAATGGCATGCATGTCGTAAATTAGTGCTCAAACCTCCTAAATTTTGGTACTTGGATGGAAACATGACTTTCGCTATTTAAAACAGAAGAAGAAGAAATCCTCTGATGATTGAGAGAATGCGATCGAGTAGCCTCTGTGTGGAGCCTTGACGTATCATCATCGAACTGACTTGGCCCAGGTGTTTATTTTGTTCGGAGTTGTGTTATACATCTGATTCCTCCAGGGTTTGAACTGAGGTCTGTTTGTTAATTCAGGATCGCACTAGGACAAGCTATCTTCCTGACTTTGTCATGGTTTATTATTTGTTCATGAAATCGTTTTAGAATGTGCTGTTTGGGGTATGTGACAAGCTGATGAAAAAGCATTGCGAAGTGGGGAGTGCAGGGAGGAGGGAAGGATGGTTGTCGATAAGTAGATCATGTGACATTGGCTCGAAACGACGAAGTGGTAGCGTTCAAGCAGACCTTGTTATAACATTTGCTTATCATCCATCCCTCACAAGATCGTTTGTAATGCCTCGACAACCAGCATGGCAACCCCTCAGCGCTCCAGGCTGGCCGTATGGTGACGGTGAATTTCGTTTTCCAGGATGTGAGCGGTACGTCGAAGCGAAAGAAGATGACTTGTATATTAGGAAACACACTGGCTGGGTAAGCGATAAGCAGCTCCATCCTTTCCAGGCTTTCTCTTCAAAAGCACACCTTTCCGGAGCCAGCCCCTGGAGACGCTGTACTGGCAGCAGCAGAAACGCGTCGGGCTTTTCTCTGAATTTATCCCTATGACTTCTATACAAGTATATAGGGTGAGCTTTCCTCACCAATAGACTAGAGCGACCTCAAATCGTACTAGGGGGGGAGGATGATGCCGTTACCTTCCCCCCTAGTAATGAGGCTCTTGTATTTCCTTGAAAAAAAGGGTGGGGGGGGGAAGGGGGGGTGGGTTTTGGTGTGGCATGAGAACTGCTCTTGGTGCTCTAGGCTAATCTTTTTTTTTTTTTTTTTTTTTTTTTTCAAAGCCCAAAAGATCACCCTGTTGGCTCATCGATGAACTGTTTTGGTTGCTTTTCAACTCATGCAGGACATGTCGGTTGACTCATCTACGAACTGTTTTGGTTGCTTTTCAACTCTTGCAGGACTTTATCATGGAGCAGTGGGTATTACAATGGTCCCCAGATGATGGGGAAGGATGGAAATGCAGGGGGCGCTGTTTTGGAGACTCTAAAGGAGGCGTTCGAATCGAGAAGGCAAGCTCTAGATCAGTTAACAGAGATGACACTGACAAAGAAAAAGCCTGGGACAGAGGCAGCGTCCATGTTGACCGCTGGTCTCATGGAGACAGAATGGTTCTATGTTAACAACACTGGGATGCAGTTCCCACTTGGGTCAGGGTGAGTGCTCTCCAAAGCTGGTAACCCTCCCAATTATCGAAGTCCTGGATTTTTTCTTCCCCCTTCCCAATGGCAGTTTTGCTCTCAATCTCCACCGCACTTCCTTTCTTTCCCATGTGTGTGTGTGTGTGTGTGTGTGTGTGTGTGTGTGTGTGTGTGTTTTGTTGTTGGTTGAAAAACAGCACGCTGGGGGTGTTCTCTGGGGGTGATATGAGCACCTCCAGGTACCACCACCGCGCTTGAGGCTCCAATCGTATTGCTGAGGAGCAGCACCTGCTGGAGAGGGGCTCCGGCGCCCCTTAGAAAAAATCACTCCATTCCTGGCGGCACTGCATATCCCTGATGATGCTAAAGACGGGGAATCAGCCTCTTCAGTCCTCACGGGGCAGCTTAATTTTCTACACCAGCCTAGCACACATCCTAAGTGTCAGCGCGGCTATTCTGCAAAGCGGAGTTTCGACTGCATTGTAAACTTCGGACCAGACTGTACTTCTAAATGGCAGTTTGAAATGCATTTAGAAACTGCTTTTGTGCCTGCGGCCCAGTTACCCCGGACATACTCCCACTAACGTTTTTGGCCCTTGCTTGTGTCTGGATTTACGGTAAAGTCCTGGTGTGAATATGCCCTAAGTAGGCACTATTGTAACTCTGAACCCAGGCTGGAAATCTCGGCTTTGACCGTCCTTGGGAAATTTCTAGTGTGACCGGACTTTCAAAGAGAGCCCAAACAAGACTGCATGCGCACTACATTACTAGGATGTTGCTAGATGAATTTGGCTGTCCTTGGAAAACGGGTCCAGCGTCCCTTGGATACATGTATACATGAATGCGCGAGTACAAGATGAGATGAAATGCCATTGATGTCTGTGGTGTCTGTACAGATGTATGAGCTGCCTAGAACTTGCCTCGTCACCCCATAGAGGGCGCCTAATCTGAAATTCTGCGCTAGCATATTACCAGCAGCCCACTTTTCTTCCATAAACTGAAGCCGAAGTCGTACCTCCCCTGACCCTTACCTATGTAATCCAACAAGTGCCATCTCAGAAGGAGGGAGAGTGACTGAAAAAGAACTCGGGATCTGAGAGAAGCCTGCTTGTAGACTGTGTAGCCTGCCTTTCCCTTTCATCCGACTCATTTGCTTTTCTCTTCCTACCTCTGTCCTAAGCCTGTGCAATGCAGATTTGTGAAGTTCGTGCAAATATGGCCTATTAAAACACCCGTACTTCCCGAAAGTTGGGCTGTTAACGTGCTGGCAACAGATGGGAGATAAGCGAGCCCTCTGGGCTGGGCTATATGCATGCACTTTAAATTCCTGAGCTCGAGAGGATTTCTCTATGAGAAGAAAAAAATGATGCCTCCTGTGCTTGCATGTCCTTGGCTGGCGGTAACCTGGCTGTGATTCATGCATCACAGTCCTGATGTATCTGCACCTTGGCTGGCGAAGTACTTGTGTCTTATATTCTGGCCATGATTCTTGCCACCACGAAAACCTAGACCTGCTGTAAAGGCCATATTTGCTCTTTTTTATGTTTGAAATTTGAGTAGAATGTGCAGCAAGCATGCATGTACTTCAGCGAATATTTTTTTGCGGGAAAGGTTGGATGTGGAAAACACGGTTGGTTTCAAGGGAACAACATTAATCATGCGGCTCTTTCCGTACCTGGAATGGAAGTAAACAGCTGTAGACATGGCTGATGAATCGATTGTTGTGCTGGCCGTCTTGGGGTGCGGAGTGATGCAGGGTTGTTGGGAGGTGTGCACTGAGTGGAAAGTATGCATGGCTCTGTGAGGCAGACAAAATGGATAGCGCCACCTTCACAAGAGCTGCTGACGCAAAGGTAAAACTCCGTGGCGTTTCAATGTACTTGCATTGTTGATTAGTTCGTTGGTGTTCCAAAGGAGAACTCCCGGCCGCTGCATCTGCAATCTCAGGGTGTAAACCCTTCTTTCTGGCACATAGTCAAAAGGCTTGTATGGCCAATCTCCTCTGCCTACGGTTTACTGGGAAGTTCTGTTTGACGATATATATGTATAATATAATAATGTATTAATTAAATCCACCCACATCAACAGATAGGACTGATGGTCAGAGCATGCACTCCTGCCTGCATGCAGGGGCCTCCGGTCTATTGGTGGGGAGCCATCACCTGATGGAAAGCAGGTCCAGCGTCCCCTGATTCTCAATAAGTGCGGTGTTCTGAAAACCAATTGTATAATTTGTAACATGGCCAGGTCAGCAAGGATCTCTGCGGAATCAATTCTTTGTCTTTGTGCATGGGTCTTGTCATTGCTCTTTGCATGAAGTGAGAGCTGAGAATCGCTGCATGCTTTCTCACCTCATGTCGTCTGCAGTTTTTTGGACCAGTAGGTATTTGGCAGAGGGCCTACTGACCCCTAAATGTCGCCTTGGTGTGGGAGTCCTTTTTTTGGGTGTCGAACTGGCAGGATTCCTACGTTCTCTCTTTTCTCTCTTCTCTCTTCTTGTCCCTATAACCATTCCTAGGTTCATGGTAAATGTGTGTGCGGCGCTGCGCGCTATGGAATTGCTTTCCAATGGAGGGGGGAAGGGGATAATTTTGGCTGTTTTGGGGGTTCAATGTTTCACAGACATCCCATCCTGCAGGTGCAAACATGGAGGACACCAGACATAAAAAAAAAAAAAAAAAACTTGAAAAACGTTGAAAAAACTAACCACGAAAATCGGAAACTGTTAATGCAATGCAGAGATTGCACTCTGAGAACTCTCAGATGAGTCTTTCTGAGATGTCTTTTGCCTTTGGACCTGTTCATTCTGAGTATTTTCGGCGTGCCTTGCACGAATGTGTGTCGTTCTGCTGAGTCTCAGATTTCTCAAGTACAAATCCTGTGCCCCGTTGTCTATTGCTGTGTCTCCGGAGGGGCAACTTGAAGTTGCAGTAGCCACCGGGCTAAGACAGAAATTTGTCAGTAGCACCTCCGGATAGAGGTAGGAGGACGGATAGAGATGGATAGAAAAATTCGTAAGGACGCAGTAAAGATTCTGCAACAACTTGGAAATGCTGGGAGTCTGGAAGACTTAGAGTAGAATAATGATGGTAGTGCAGGTCTAATTTCTAGTGTGAAACAACAATGGGCTTAGTGCAGGTGAGATTCTAGTGTGAAACACCAATGGGCTTAGCTCAGTTGGAACACCCCCACAAACTCTTGAAGTGCAGACCTGATTTCGGATCCGGATGGAGGCAGATGAACAAATTTCCTGAATTACCTGGGGCCGGTTAGTTTCACGATGATATCTCATGGCTGTCGCCCTTTTATAGAAAGAGAGAACAGAAAAACGAAAACAAAAAAAGATTATAGTCTGAAATGATGTTTCGACCTCTTTTGGGAACCCATAGGACTGGGGTAGGGGTAGATATGTCCAGGAGTCACCTGGGTGGAGATGAAGTTTGGCTGCTGAACCTACTGCTCCAGCAAGCACATGAGTTAGGGCTGGTTCATTGTGCACTAACTCCGGCCACGGTGCTCCTGCTCCGCTGGAGAGAGAAGAAGGCGAAGCAAGCTTGAGGGTGGAGGGAGCTTTGAGTTAGGGAAGACCCCAATCATTTTTTTGAGGTGGGAGGACTGGCTATGGTGATGAGTGTACGTCCCCACCTTGGGCTATGGTAGAGGGTATAGAGCTTCATTAGACCTGAAGGCGGAATTATGGAAACTATGTGCGGCTTCCCTTTGCCTATGGTCAAATGTCCTCTCCTTTTCTAGGAAGTACAACATTGAGTACTTGTTCCGCATTGCACTCACTGCGATTATGATCCTGCTGCTTCGACAGAGGGAGATGAAGGTGGAGCAAGCCAGAGGGCAGAGGAAGAGCTTAGAGCCAAAGAAGGCGGCCCTCATGGCTATGGAGGTGGTTCTGAGTGTACAGGACTGGCTATGGTGATGGGTCTGCAGGGTCACATGGGCCTAAGATAGAAGGTAGAGAGCTTCATTTGGCCTGTGCGAGAAGGCAGGAGGGAATGTGATGGAGACTTTGCCTATTGCTGACTGTCATCTTCTCTCCCAAGGTTGGGCTTACTAAAAGAATGCGCTTTCAGGGTTTGGTTGGACAGATACTTCACCTGAGATAGTGGCATTGGTGCTGCTGGTGCAGGGGAGAGGAGTAGGGGTTGTGTTGTCCTGTGCACATCGCACTTGCGTAGCTCGACAACAATGTAATGAAGAATCCAAAGATTCGAAGGCCTTAAAAAAAGGAAAATGAACTAGGCTGTTTTCCCGGGCGCCCGGGCAACCAACTTCTGCCCGGGTACACGCCCGGATGCCCGGCCAGGCATGACCCCCGGGCAGGGTTCCGGGCAGCCCCAGCGCCAAAAAAAAAAAAAAAAAACTCAAAAAATTCCGGAAAAAAACTATGTTGTGTAGGATTGAAATGCAAACCACTTTTGGCTGAGGGTCACATTATGATTCCTCACAGAATCGGAGATAAAAAAGAAAATAACAGAATCACACAAAGGCACCCCCCTTTAGACCCCTTTAGCCCCTTTAAAACCAATTTATACCCCCCTCCCCCCCCCCTTGACAGCCAACTCGCAAAAAACGAAATGAGCCCGGATTAAGAGTCCTCTGCTAGAGCGCAGAAAACCAAAAAAAAAAAAAAAAAATCTTTTTTTTTTTTTTTTTTTTGCACGCCCGGGTACCCCGGGCGTCAGACCCCCCCGGGTGTCACGCCCGGGTGCCCGGCCGGGCAGGACCGGCCGGGCGTGAGAATCTTCCTAGAAAATCAAAGCAAAGGAATTCTGGAACCAGACAAAAGTGTAGTATCGTTCTCAACCTTTTGGCTAAGATCAAGTGTAATATAATACTAATATCTGATCAGCTTAATCTCTGGTCAGGTGGTCCATTGTACCACGATGATATTGGAAAAAAAAAAAAAAAAAGGAAACAGTAAAAAAGAAAAACAAAATGGATGAGCAGTGATCTGTCTCCTTCTCCTTCTCCTTCTCCTTCTCCTTCTCCCTCTGCCGCTGCTGCTTGTTGCTTTGTTTTCTGTGTTGTTTGGGAGGGACATATTTGAAATAACAAGCTTAAGCTGTTTGGAGGGACGCATTTGAAACAACAACTCATGTTGTTCTGTTTTCTGTGTTCTTTTTTGCTCTCTTGTGGATCTGGTCTTTTACATTGGCACATGGAAGTCCAGGCAGCAGGGATCAAAGTAAGTGAATGTGGGCCCTCTCCCAGTTTTTTACCATGAAAAAAAAAAACAAAGTCTATGTCTTTGACTCTTTGTCAACTCTGTGAATAATTATGCGTGCTTCTGGTCAGCATTCGATTGCGATTTCATTTGATGTGGAAGGTTTCTGGCCCTCCCTGGGGTGTCTAATGCATAATCAGGCTGTTATTGGGACTTACAGAATAGGAAAGATTTTTGGTGTTGTTCGATAACCGTCTGTTAGGGTTCATAAGGATTCTTGGGGGTCACTTGGACAGGGCAAACAGGAAATATAAAGTCCTTTGTGGGCAGAGTCCCGGCAGACACTTAAAGCGGGTTTCGTTTGCACAACATACTTTTCTCTTTTGTCCTTTGCAGAATGAAGATTTGAGGACCTGTCCCCTTCCTCTCATGGCAAACCACTTATTCTTCTTCTTGTTTTTTAAATTTAATAATAACTCAGATGTATTATATTACTTCCTGAAAACGGGGTTCAGGATCCCTTACATGGGTTACATTATCACACTTTCCCCTGTCATGGTTGAGAGACCCTGAGACAACCACATTGATTACTTCCTCCCTCATTATGGCCGAGAGGACCCTGAGACAACGGCATTGATTACTTCCTCGACCAGGAAGGATTTATCCATGCTGCAGCTTGAAATCTTTTTTCTTTATAACTGCGTTTTTTTTGTTTTTTGGTTTGTTTTTGTTTATTTATTTAATTTGGACCATTTCTCGATTTAAACCACTAGTACCTTTGCCGAGTGGGAAAGTAGTGGGCGTCGGGTGGGCCTCCGACCTTTTAGGAGGCCGAAACGAAACGACGGACGCCGATGAGATATATCGATGGCAGCCGTCATCGGGCCCGGCCTCCGATCTTTTAGGAGTTTGCGAAAACTGCCAATTTTCCCTATTTTCCCAAGACTGGCGGAGGTACCAACTTCTTCCGCCGAACATAACGCATATGCGTTGTAAACGAATACAACACATACCGTGCGTTGTATTCGGTATGTGTTGTATTCGTTTACAACGCATATGCGTCATGTCCGAGTGAACGAGACCAACTTTACCTGCACAAGGGAGTCGGGTCCAGGCTGAGTAGGCTCAGTTCTGGACCACGGCTGGGGGCCTCGGAGCCTTGGCAAAAAGGTAAAAGTAAAGTAGCAACATACCTTTCCATGTTCTGGGTTGAGTTTCATTCCTTCCCCCTACTTGGGTCCTTGCTCCACTCCTCAACAAATGTGCAAAATGAGAATGAATCTTCCACGAGAACATGGACAAATACAACCCCTTTCTTTTTTGTCTCGGTGACCACGGTAGTGCAGCGAGGCCTTGGTGAGTGACTTTCTGATTTTTCCACTTTCTTGGTCACACCACATTCTTGGCTGTCAGAAGCGACTTCGTGCACGGAGAGAGAGAGAGAGAGAGACGCTATGCCCAAGGCCAAAACACAACACAGCTGTGATTACGGGCCTGTCCCGTTCACCAGGGCAAGAACCGAGCAGGCGTTGACCTTCGGGGGAAAAAAAAAGGTTATATTCGAATACAACAATTTTCTCTTCGTGAAATTAAAATATAACGCATATGCTTAGTGCTTTAACATGTGCTATCCTTGTGCAGGGATCATGCTAATTTTCTGTATCGTTCCAATTTCAATGGATGTCTCGAAGAACGATTTTGTGTTTATGATCTGTGTACCGTATTCGTCGTCAATTTTCTGAATAAATGATTGGGATTCGCTTCATGAGATTTGGGAAGAGCGGGATAAGGAGCAGCAGCAGGAGGAGCTGGATGATAGGGACGAAAGAACAGGAGGAGGGGGGGCGGCGTGAAGAGCAAGGGGACAAGGCCAGTGAACGGGCCACAGAAAGAGAGAGAGAGAGCGGTTAAAGAATGGCCTGTTTTCCTAACGAGGAGCAAGACGAAAAAGAGGAGGTGCAAGATCAGCATGAGAATCCAGGTTTGTGGAGGCAGGGAACTGAGTGGGAGGAGCGGGAGGAGCAGGAGAGGGAGTGACAGGAGGATCGGGAATGGCAGCAGTAGTAGTAGGATGAAGAAGAGGACGGGGTGAGGAAGCCAAGGAAGCAAAGGAGGTGGAGAGGGAGGAAGAGGAGGCAGAGGACGGAGGGAAGAGCGGACCAGAGCAAGTTGGGAGGGCGACAAGTAGAGGAGGAGCGGGAGGAGGAAGAGTGGGAGGAGCAGGAGCAGGAGCGGGAGGAGGAGCGGGAGCGGGGGGAGCGGAAACGGCAGCAGGCGGATGGGTAAGAGAAGCGGGAGCGAGAGGAGCCAGAACGGCAGGATGGCAGGCAAGAGGGGAGGGAGCTGGAGGAGGAGGAAAACGGCGAGGAGTAGGAGGTGGAGGAAGAAGAGAGGGCGATGAGTGGGAAGAGGAGGGGGAGGACAAGGAGTGGGATGACTGGCCTCCCTTTTTTTGGTTTGCTATCGGATGTGTGTGTGTGTGTGTGTGTGTGTGTGTGTGTGTGTGAGAGAGAGAGAGAGAGAGAGAGAGAGAGAGAGAGAGAGAGAGAGAGAGAGAGA